ACAATCACATGAATACAGGATACTATTCGATATTTGTTTACAGACAGGTTTTAATGCCAAGGAAGATATCATAATCTATGTGATCCTGTACCAGTTCAAAGGCAGTATTCCACGAGTCTTTTGTGAATAGTTTGCTTTCGTCGTGGTAAATCTACCAGATCAACTGAACTATTACTTTAACATCATTGGGAAAGGGTGCTCGAGTTATGAATATATATTATTGTTTATTTGATTTAGCCTTATTCACACCTGTTTCCATACAGCAAACTTCATGAAAACATCTGTATCTCAAGCAACATTATTCACCAGAAGAGTCTGATTGAGCCCAAGCCGGGGAAAATTTCGTGCGTATAGGTAAAGAATACACAGTTAGTTTATCGTAAAATTTGAATCGGCTAACTGAATTGATGCATTTTAAACCCTATTTAAAGGTGAGGAGCCAAACGTACTGAAGGGTTGAATTCATTTCTTCTACGTATTTTATTGAATTAAAAATACAGGTGTATCCGTGCGCGTTTATAAGTGTATTGAAATAATATATTTAGAATCCTATTTAGAGGTGGGGATCCAAATGTTCTCCTGGTGTTTCCAGCAGGATTTTCCAAAGGAATCGAACAATTCGTACTGTTAATAAACTTTCTGAACTGTTCCAGAATTTTCCGTGCCAACATTTTTCTCAATTTAGGAAAACTCAATGAGCTCGTCCAATTTTTCCTTGTATATTTTAATTGGTGGACTCTCTACGAATATATTTCACTTGGTGTATTTTTATTGGATTTATATGTATTTCATAGGACGACCTGGTGAGAGTAATCCTGAAAATACAATTATACTTGTCTTGTTGTTTATTATGAATATCCACTGAGTAAAAAAGCGAGTCAGTCTGTTCTTGCTAGTGTCTCAAACTCAATAGTGAGGGAGTCAGGAAAACCAAACATGGCGCCAAATATTTTGTTAAATACATCACAATATTATTGATAGAGATTTGAAATATAAATTCTAATCAACATTTTTTTATCCAAAATAATTATAAACCCTTACACCTGCTGTACTCGCTGCATGTATCGAAAGAGGCGATCAATGTGCGAGGCCCTGCATAATTGGGGATTCGCTTTTGAGCCCACTACTAAGGGACACAAAAACGATCAAATAAATCTGCTGTATCCATTGAAATATTTGGGATCTTTCTACTTTTAAGTACCTTTAATTTCCTAGCGCCTTGCCTGGCATCACCTCACTTTTGGCTTAAATGTTGAACGTTCGCCTAGATGAGGAAGGCAATAGGTTCTGTCCCTAGGCCAGGTCATGTTAAGTCCTCAAAAATGGAAGATGTAATTTCCTGCTAAACGGTCAGCATTTAGGGTAATACATGGATGGATGTAAAGACTTAAACAGCTAAGATCATTGAAGGATGCTCCTCCATGTGTGTTGTATATGCCTGGTGCATGTGTCCAGGAGAGACAGGGTGTGTTGGCGATTTGCCTCCTTTTCCGCGGATCTGATGCCAAATTTTTAGTGCTATCTCACTGAATTACCATGCCAATGGCACCCCGCTCTACGAGGCGAATACAGCATCATAGTATGCCAACTGCACACACGCAGGTTCGGGAATAGAATATGCCAGCTGTATTCTACTGCATGTGTATCGTAAAAGGCGATTAAAATGGGACGTTAATAGGACGTTAAACAAAACAAATCAAAACGTGTACAGGGTTCAACGTCCCATCAACATCTAAGGTCATTTAAGGACTTGCTCCATGTGTGTTGTGTTTGCTTGCATGTGTTTAAGTGTGCCAGCGACAAGGTATGTCTGTGTATTGCCTCTTTGTGATAGCGTGGAGCTAATGCCGACGTAAAATATTGCTGATCTCAGGAAAGCTGTTTAATATAACTGTAACAGAAAAATAAAAGGTAATATCAATTTTAAAGTATGATGAATTATTTATTCACAATATGCAAAATATTCAACATATCCAGAGTTTATAGTTGGTGTTAGTCTTATAATGAATATTTCTCGTATCTTTTTAGTCTCGTATCCCGCCAAAGACACCCCTGCAGGTTGGGGATCGGGAAAAGTATACACCTGCTGTTGCCCACTGCATGTTCCTTAGGAGGCGACTAATGTGGTAACACCTCTGCAGAATTTGGGATTTGCTTTGATGTCCTCTATTTGGGGACACAAAAGGGACCAAAATTAATCTGCTGCGCCCATTGCAATATTTGGTATCTTTATCTTACTTTCTACTTCTACCTACCTTTTATTTCCTATCGCCTTGCTTGGCAATACCTCACTTTTGGCTTGAATGTTGAGCGTTCGCCAAAATGAGGAAGGCCAGGACATACCAAAGTCCTTAAAAATGGTAGTTGTTATTCCCTGCTTAACGATCAGCATTTAGGTAAATGGCAACAACTGATTCACCCGTTGTCAGTATAATGTGACCGGACGGAAGGCTGTGCTGGTTGCCTTCGGGGTGGCATTTCAGTGAGATAGCACTATTAAGGCGGCATCTGATCCGCTCTATCAGAAGGACGCAAGCACACCAGCATACCCGGTCTCCTGCATACACACACGCAAGCACGCATACATCACACACATGGAGGTACGTCCTTAAAAGACCTTAGCTGTTAATAGGACGTTAAACAAAATCAAATCAAACTCGCAAAAGATCAACTACGAGTACCCTTCGAAAGGTCGATTCTACCGGTGCAGCAGCTCCATATACTGCAGTTCTGTGATTAACATTTAGGGCCTAAACTATTTTTTAAGAAATTAGCGCTTGATACCAACTATTTTGGCAATATGGCGCTATTCAGGAACAAACATGAAATTCCAGGAAATAGTCAAGCTGTTTTTCATCTACAAGATTTTGAGCATGGAAGACTCCCTGAAATACATACTCCGCGCCGGTATTTGTACTTAACATTGTTTTAAGCAATGTAATATTTGTTTTGATACCCTAGCTGCAATTTGTCTAATAATTACCACTAGCCATAGGCGTAGCAGCCATAACGCAGAAACGCCCGTGCGTACACTTAAAAAAAATTAAGTACAGTAAAAATATTGAGGTATATTAGTACGCCAAACCACCTAAAATACATTAATTATGTAAACCAGATAAGATTTTTGCTGTCAATTAATTATCTATTTTAGAAAAACCTATGCTAAGTTTCTTAGTTAGCTAATAAACAAGAGTTATCTCGCTTTGGACAATACATCTGCGACACGTAACGAATCGATCTGGATGCATCCGCGGCAGATTTGGTCGAAATTTAGTATTACAGGAAGTTGTTACTACACAAAAAACAAACATGGAGAAAAGTCAGAAAACAAGGAAAATTGACTCCTTTTTTAAACCAAAAACCAAAGACGATGCACCTGCTGAAAGTCCCGACGTTACCCCTGGCGATTCCGGGGCACATGCCGACATATCGACAGTTGTACCTATCCCACTACTGGCTCCACACCACCCTGACTAAATTGTCGTTCGACAGTAAAGCCAAAACGGATCTTCTCCGACTGAAATGGGAAAAGGGAAGGGATTTTAATTTCCCTACAAGGTACGACAGTCGTCTTTTTTATATCGAAATTAGGCTTAGTTTAAAATGCAGTTAAAATCTGTAATTTTTAAATATGGTGCGGCCTGATTTAGTCTTTTAAAGTTCTTTGCAGACTGTTTTAATAATATTAATTCGTATTATCGTATACACCCTCTTTTAAACCCCCTCCATTGTCTCTGTAAATTTGTGTAAACTAATACATTTGTAGGACGAAGTTCATTTTTATTTTCTATTATCTTAACTTTTAAGTTTGCAGGTCGCTCTATGTAGTGTATGGGTGGTGATATTTGATATTATCATCGACTTGTGGGTAACGACCTGTATATATATACACGAGAGCTTAAACATCTGACTAAAAGTCAACTTGAACAATTTGTGCTATACATAAAATCCAAACTTACGTTTTCAAAATGTGCATAGTAGAAGAGACTCGACGTGGAAAATGTAGAGGAGCGTGGGGTTAGTCGGATCGCAGGTTTCGTACGATCGGCAAATCTAAGTGCGTATGCGTATCAAAATAAAATAGAAAAAAATGAATACCAAATAACCATAAAATATATATACACAACATCTTACTGCATACACCTGCTTCTCCTAATAAAATTGATATGACTAATCCTGTCCTGTCCCACTTATGTTCACATGAATATTGGTGCTAAAAACAAAAAATTAAATCACACATGGCTCACGACACATGAATGGCTGAGGTACTCCATAGAAAAAGATTGTTTATACTGTGTGTACTGTTCTGTGTTCGGACAAAATGACCAGAAATGGAAAACGTTTGGCTATTCTTCTCCTGTGTCGGACTGGTCCAACCTCCCACAACTCGTAAAACGTCACCTATCCAATGATTCGCCACACCATGGCCTTGTTGAAATGGATGTCAACTTTGAGGACATTATGTGTGATAAAAGGATCATATCGATACAAAATTCTCTTTCATCATCCCACCAGATAGATGTCCGACGGAACAGACACATTTTGCGCAAGATCATAGATGTTATTCTGCTTTGTTCCCGTCAGACATTCCGCTGCGTAGTCAGACAGAAGAGAAGAGTAACTTGATGTACATATTGACAACGTTTGCTGCTGACGATGCTATTTTGGCGGATCACTTGGCAAACCCGACACCTATTGCAAAATACACTTCACCTGATATCCAAAACGAGCTTATCGGACTCTGCGCTGAGGAAGTATCGAAATGTCTGATCAACAGGTGTCAAAGGGCAAAGTACTTTGCTTTACATGCAGATGAGACGACCGACAAATCCACAGTTACCTAGCTTTGTGAGTGTGTCCGCTACATTGACATTAAGCCAGAGGGTGCAGAGGTAGTGGAGCAGTTTCTGGGCTTCGTCCATGCCAAGAGCCTAAAAGGAGTGGAGATATGCAACCTCCTTGTGACATTTTTACAGGATCGAAGTATCGACATTGGCAAGATGAAGGCACAGGGATATGATGGGGCGAGTAATATGTCAGGTCGGCACAATGGTGTACAGGTACTAATGAAGCAGCATGCTTCTGATGCCACATACATACATTGTAAAGCGCACTGCCTAAACCTTGCTGTCGTCCATTCATGTAAGGAACCCTGTGTCCGAACAATGATGGCGACAGTACAGGAGATTGGCTTTGCATTCCATTACTCTGCCAAACGTATGGAGGCATTTATGGACGAACTGTTAGGAAACCTTGAGGTGCAGGTCAACCAGGAGAGAAAAACAAAATTGGTCAAGCTGTTCGAGACACGATGTACTGCAAGAGCTGATGCACTGACCACATTCAAAAACGCCCTGCCAGTGGTCGTTAACACGTTGGAGTTCCTCCGTGGACAAAACAACGATAAGGCCGGAGTCCACCTAAACTCCATGCTTAGGTATGCTTTCCTCATTGGGCTCTATGTGTGCGATAAGCAAATTCTGAAAATCGTCGTACACCTTTCGATCTTCCTCCAGAGCGTGTCATGTGACATGTGGTCCGCCATGGAAGAATGTCGTGTCGTGGTGGCAACACTACGGGCAGAGCGTAACAACGACATTGTCTTGGCGGGAATATATGACGAGACGAACAGGATCAGCCGCCTACACGACATAGAACCTTCCATCCCACGACGCGTCGGACGCCAGCAAAATCGAAACAACGTGCCTGCTGCTAATCCATCAGAATACTGGCGAAGGTCACTATATCATATCTTCATAGATCATATAATCATGGGGATTGAAGACCGACTTCTCGGAGCAGAGTCAAGATTTAGGACCTTCCAACTGCTTCCGGCAAAGACGGGAGAACTCGATGATCCCGCTCTTGTTGCCATTCACCAATCCTTCCAGAGCGATGTGCCAAACGATACTGCGGACTTCAGGAGCGAGGTTGACAGGTGGAAGACACGTTGGCGCATAGTAGAGGATAAGCCGCAAACCCTAGTGGATACCTTCAATCGGACCAGCCCTGTCCTCTATCCGTCAATTCACAACATCCTGTTAGTTCTCCTGACCATGCCCGTCTCCACAGCGACAGCCGAGAGGTCTTTCAGTGTCCTTCGGCGAATACAAACGTATCTAAGATCAGCAACACACCAGGACCGTTTGTCATCATTGGCCGTGCTACATGTGCACAGGGAAACGCATGTGAACATTGAGGATGTCATCAACACATTTGCTGCATATAAAAACCGAAAAAAGGTATTTTGAATAGTTAATGGCTGCGACTTGCCGGTATGTTAAGACGTTCGCAGGTTTTCATTCCATATAGCGTGGTTGGTGTTGTTCTGACGCCTTTCCCCCTATATGTTAAAAATACTGACTGCCCATATGGTTACTATGGTTAAAGGGACATCACGTCAAAAGGCGTTTTATTTTAATGAATGTATGTATTGTATGCACTTCCTCTTATGTTACCTCGCTATCCCCATATTCTTAGTCCGTTCCAAATGTCCAGTTTGACCACTTGAATTGTTCGGGAAAGCCCTGCTAAAAATAGCGCCGATAACGTCAGCTGACTAGGCAGTAAACGGTTTTCAAAGGGGCCCCCAGAGAGGGGCCGTTAGGCAACTGCAACTTCTTACCGCACTATGAAACCAAGTTATATGATTTCTGTATTCAAACTTATTGAACAGTAATTATTCATCATTAGAAGTTAATTGCACTCTTGCCAATGTTCAGAATTTAAATTTATTTAGCTTTAAACATAAATTTGTTGCCAATAAAATTAAACCTGGAATGGGGCACAAGTTTTTACAATTTATCACAGCCTTCTCCCGTCATACATTTACAATTAAATGTCAACAATGATAATAGGCATAAACATAAAGTAAATATATTTAAATATTTATTGAATTTAGTACCGGAATGTGGCCGGTACAGATGGTACGGGGCTAAACATCTTCCCTAGACCAAGGGAAAAACCTTTCTGAATTTTTTTTTATATATTGCCGGGGCAGAGGAGGCCGGGTATTCATATTAGTATTAATTTAAATCTTGCATTTTAAAAACAAAAATAATCGTTTAATTCAGCAATATAATTAAATCATACCATTTTATTGAACCCGGTAATGTAAATCCACGGACTTCGATAACACGTATCTCGGTGACCCAGAAAATACGCCGTGGGCCATCACAACAGTTATCCCTTGGAGGGCCTCATGGCAAAATCAAACTAACCAGTCACGTATCCCTTCCTTTCGCATAAACCACTGTATATTTTTAGAAATACAAAGTAAACTCTCTCCAATACATGCCCATTAACATATTAAACTAAGTTCATCTGTGTTCAAACTCAGACAAAGATACTAGCGTGCTTAATAGTTTTAGATATTTATTCATAACATAAACAGCGCTAGCATTTCTGTCGATTCCATTTCAGCTTAACCGGCTATCCGGAAGAATACATGCACCGTACTAACTGCTACGGCAGTTATATTCTCCTTTGAATACTGCCCACCTGCAATAATGATTCCGTAACGTACTTCTTGTGCTATCTTTTGACCATTTGGCAACTTTGCGTTTCGTAGCTGACACGGTACAACACTTTTCTTTCGCTTACTTCACACGGCCAGTCATTTTGTTTACAAAAAAATGGTGTGCTATGCGCATGCGCTAGTAGAGGGAAATCCCTGAACAAAACGTTGGTCAGACAGGTAGAAATATCGATGATTTTCTTAGATTTAATCATTTTTATGAATCTATTTCAGCCAAATCCGATCATTATTATCCATAAGGAGTCTCACTTGATTTGTTTATGTAGTATTTGAAAAAAAAAGACAAAAAATAAAGTTACTTCACCGTGATGCCCCTTTAATTGCACGACGACTCTATTGATTAAATTGCCCCGCTAGTATCAAGAGGAAAACATACGCAATGAAATAGGAGCAAGTTCAAAGCTAAAAGTAGTCCAATCGATCAGCACTCCAGGAAAAGGTATTCCCACTCGGTAATATAATCTCGTCTTGAGCCGTTGAAATATATGCCCCATTCCCATATGGAGCATAAAAAGTTTCCTTACCAAATAATTAAAATTATTATACAAACGTCATGTGTTATTTTCTTTAATGGAGCAAATTAATAAACCAATGCCAGAACACGGGAAATGGCTTCTGAGCCCTTCTTAAATCCTATTTTTTTAAGGGGAGACACCCCGGACACCCCTAACGGGTTATGGGTGACACACAACTCTACACGGGGTACCGGAGCCAACCAAGGGAGATCACTCTAGTTACATCATAGTATAGGTTGAACACTACCATTATACAATATACAATATAGTCATATTGTTACATCTCTCTTCTCAAGATTAAAGTTCATATTTAATGATGATTGTTCAAGTCTCTTAAATATACTGATGATACTACATATGAGATTATACATATAATCATTGTTTAACTACAACATGTTAATATTCTAATGGTTATAGCTCATGGCACAAGAACATCCATAATTATACGATAACACAATTAAACTGAACATATTTGATAACTGTCTTTCAAAATTCTTCGAAGTCCATTCTTTGGTACATTTCATAACAAAACATATTCAATGAAATAACAGAACAAATGTCTCTGGTAATCTTAAAGTTCATTACCAAACGAATGTCAATAAACACAATTCACATTGATTGGATAACTTTCTGTTTCACTATGCGACCTGAACGTGTGATGTAGCCTGAATCATTTGATAGGTCTGGAGGGTTTGCTAGTGCTACAACTTTTTGGGGTGATGCAGTAGCTGCAGGCTTATCAGGAATATCTTGGAGAACGACATTGCCTGCAGACATACGGGATATATTTGACTCATTATAGAGGGTACTAGTAGAGGGTCTGTAGAGGTCAAGGTCAAGGTCATTAATCGATGGTTCATTTGTTTTGACGATGTGGCGCCGGTTATGCCACCATCCAGAGTAGCGACTGTATACGACCTTGCGTCATTTTGTTTGATGACTCGGGCAGGCTTCCATCGGTTGTCACGCTTTATACGTGCTGTTTCTCCTATGTCCAAATTATCAAGTGGTTTCGAGCCTCTGTCGAAGTACGACTTTTGACGGTTTTTAGCGATTTGGAACTTATTGCGGAGTTTGGATTTGAGATAAAGCGGTTTCAATTGCTCATCGGAGGTAGGTATGGCAGAGCGTAAGCGTCTACCCATGAGCAGCTGAGATGGCGATAAACCAGTATCAAGTGGTGTTGTACGATACTCGAGGATTGCGAGATGGGGATCTTTCCCGTAGGCCTTAGCTTTTGTGAACATTCTCTTTACTGTTTGAACCGTTCGGCCAATCCATTATATTGCGCGAAATGCGGGCTAGATGTTACATGAATGAAATCCCAAGTGTGAGCAAATTCTGTGAATTTCTCGCTGGCGTACTGGGGACCATTATCAGATATTACCTTTTCATGAATGCCATGACGAGAGAATGCATCTTTAAGCTTTGCAATTACTGAATTACTGGTAGTTCTTGACAGTTTGCTGACTTCAAAATATCTACTAAAGTAATCTACTATGACAACAAAGTCTTCACCATTCCACGAGAACAAGTCAGTGGCTATTATTTGCCATGGTCTGTCTGGAATGGTTCGTGGTAAGAGAGGTTCTTTTGGGTTAGAGTTTCTTAACTCAATGCATACATTGCAGTTGAGAACCAAGTCTGAAATGTCCTTGTTCATTTGAGGCTAAAACATTATGTCTCATTTCATTTCAACAAATTTTATTGACAGATGTTATAGTCAAATGGATTGAAGAACAGGCAAGCCTATATAAACTCTTTCCATGAGTGGCTCAAAATTTGATCATATATACAATGTAGTTACAACAATAATGATGAATTAATTTAAGGATACTTTGAAATGAAAAATTATAAAGAGTAATACGGATTAAAGGATAAGGGGAGATAACTCCAACATGACAAACACAAAGGGGATAAACTCATCATAGGACATCACAATGACAATAGACAAACAACTCACAATCATACATCCAACACACATACAATTTTTTTCTTATTAAATGAAGCATAGTCACAGTCAGTATATCATATGTACAGTAAGAGTAGACTTTGACCAAAAGCCCATGTGCATTTATGTGCACAGATCATTGCTTCTAATACTGTTTATGAGTAAAAAGTACAAATTTAAATAATGTGACATAAAGGCAATATAATATAATGTTTATTATATTAAACAGAAAATAAACAAGATATAATAAACCTACTCAACTGTAATCTCATTTATCCTTATGCATCAAAAAAATGAAGTTACTTCTCTGTCATTAACTTTATCTTTATTTTGTAATATATTAAACAGAGCAAGAGATGGAGAGTTCAACATATCAGTACCATAGTGTTGACATCGCGGCACATAAAGGGGAAAAACTGTCAAAATAGTTCTACACAACGGTGGGTTAAAGAGTCTGGTTTGTCTAAGAGAGTAAACATTATGTCTCTGGCTCTACGACGACACTTCTCAATACCCATATGACCAGTATGTAAAGTCTCTAGACTTTAGACCTTTGAAGATGCTACCATCCATAACCGACATTTCGTCACGATGGTTCCAGAACTCGAGTACTGATAAAGGACAATCCTTTCTCAGATCAGGCCAGCCCTCATGTATAGTGTTTGTAAGAGTGACCATTTGTTGATCTGATTCACATGCGAGTCTGAGTTCTCCCATCTTGCGAGAACTTACAGGTAAGCTAGACATTATGGTGTGCACATGGACTTCCATACCTTCTGAAAGGCTTGGAAATGTGTCGGGCATAAACTTTCTCGACAATGTGTCGAAGCCATCGTAGTAAGACTTTAATTTCTTTCCATCCTCGACAGGCAAATTTCATGTGGTGTAAATATCTCTACCCTTCTGTCCGATCCAAATAAGTAGGTACGTGCGCAAGACGTCTTCATCTTTATCCTGCAAAGGACCGTTGATGATTAGCTGGGCGTGTTGGCGAAACTTACGCGAAGTTTCTGGCAAGTTCGACGAAGTCCAGTCCAACTCTGGTGCTTGGATTCCGGATAATGCCATACTGTAAAGTTCTTAGGGTTCTGCCACCATGTAATACTACCTCTATATTATGGCAAAGCTTGTTTGGTCTGAGAGAGGAACGACAACATGTGATCTGTGCTCCATCTTTTATTCAGATAAGGGTGCCACACAACTATACACGGGGTACCGGAGCCAGGTTGAACACTACCATTATACAAT